CAGAAAAAGTACCTGTTAGGGCTATACCACCAAGGGCTACCGCACCAAAAATGGAATCCTTAGCGGCTTCCTTAACTATCAAATCTTGGTATAATAGACGGATAAACCTAGTTTGACTTTTGTGGAGGAAAGAGCGCCTTCAGAATTTTTATCACAGCTCTTTCCTCTAGTTAATCCGGAGATAAATTTGGGCCCCAAAGCAGTTAAAACCGAGATAGACCGAACGGAACAGCACCTCAATTGGCGGGCCACAAGCATATGTGCGGATCTTAAATGTGCGCGCTTAATCAACAAATAATAGAGTGTATATTTAATTCATTAGTATTTATAATTTTATTTAAATTATTTTTAATTATTTATCATAGGTTAGATATTTATTTAGTAATGTTGCTATTTCAAATACGAGATGACCTTCTTTGGCAATCCTGCCCCAACTCTCTTTTCCGCTCAGCCACAAGCAACTCAGAAAGAAACAGAAGTTCAGTCGCCCCCTGCTGATACAGTATCATGCCTACGGTTTAGTCCAGAAAGTGTGGCACATTCAACATATCTTGCTGCTACAAGCTGGGATAATAGAATTAGGATATGGGAAATCATGGCCAATGGGACCACAGTCCCGAAAGCGGAACAGATGCATCAAGCTCCCGCATTCGGTGCGTGCTGGAGCCAGGTAAAGTTTAATTTGGCGTAATGAGTTAGGATGGAAGCAAAGTATTTAGTGTCGGCGCTGATAAGTCCGTTCAAATGTGGGACTTGAACTCGAACCAATTTACTCAAATTGGCGCGCATGAGTCACCAGTAAAAACCGTACACTTTATTTCTGCTCCTAGTTATTCTTGCTTGATGACTGGAGGGTGGGATAAAAAGCTCAAGTAATTACGTATTTTATTATTATTGTCAGATTTGTTTACTAAGACCAACGCAAGACGAATTTTGCGACTATCATATTTAAAACTTATTTTACTCAAAAGTTTTCTTGGAAATTGTATTTAATTTTTACACAAGTTTTATCGCAAGTTATGCGACAAATCGAAATTCATGATTCAACTAAAGTAATTGTAAAAATTAAATATTATTTCCACTCAAGCTGTCATCTTT